CGTGCTGAGCTTTCGTCCATCATATGATGGACATCGTCAGAGCTGGGTGTCATTCTTGTAAAAGTCTCACAGTACAACGAATTTCATCCGTACTCATCTGGTGAGATCGACCAACGAATCTCTTCTTCCTGCACTTTCGTTTGAAATGAAGGCGCCCCTAACAAAATAATAACGATCATAGATATAAAGACTAACATTCCGTGTCCTTAGTTTTTGTCTTAGTATTCTTCCGGTACATAGAGTTGGCTTGGTTTCGTCTTCAGAAGGTAGTTTTATTTTTAGTGGGGGCATCAAAGATTGTACCCAGTCCTGGACAGTGCTGGCAGCTATGGCAGAGAAGCCGAAGAGATGCCACAATGATTGAATGGGAAATGGGCTTGTTTTTGCTCACTGCCAAGGATTATACTTCTCGCTGTCGAGGCCGAAGAATCATCTGATAATGTAACAAGTTAACGGTCTACTGCTGGAACTTACCAGGATTACTATTGCAGAGGACGCATACTTGTGTCCGTTAGGCCAAGTTAGGTTAGGACAAGTGGTTTCGTAACTTGACTTATATGCTTACAAACTCATATCTCATTATCACAATCATAAGGACAAGTGGTTTCGTAACTTGACATACAAGCTTACAAACTCATATCTCATTATCTCAATCATACTTGCTGCAATTGGTTTCATAACTTGATTTACATGCTTACAAGCTCGTATTTCATTATCTCAATCATACTTGTTTACATACGCAGTCTCGGTCAGGGCTTTCTTTGAGGTCATTAGGCGTTAATGATCAGAGCCTAACTTTAACCTTTATAACTTGACTTACATGCTTACAAACTCATATCTCATTATCTCAATCATAATTGCTTATGGACTTACGCAGTCTTTACATGCTTACAAACTCATATCTCATTATCTCAATCATAATTGCTTACGGACTTACGCAGTCTCGGTCAAGGCTTTCTTTGAGGTCATTAGGCGTTGATGATCAGAGCCTAACTTTAACCTTTTGATAACTCTGATTTAGAACCGGTATTGCGTATAGACGCTAACACACACACGCATACACTCGAGCACAAGTAGCAGGACAAGTATGAAAGACAGTTAGCTAAACCACTT